TTTCCCCCCCCCCCCCCCCCGCCCCGCCCTGCAGGCGCCGCCGCGGAGAGCCGCGACGCGCTGGCCAAGACCCTGTACGCCCGCCTCTTTGACTGGCTGGTGGCCGCCATCAACCGCAAGATAAACTCCCTGGGTGGGCGCCTGGGCTGGGGTGGCGCTGGGGTGCTGGGCTGGTGGTTTTGGTTGGTGGGCGGGCTGGCGTGGTTGGTGGGTCAGTAGGCGGGTGGGTGGAGATTATTCTCCTGCCCACGTGCGCACCACAGCACGGCACCACTTTAGTGCGCGTGCCTGCGGGGTTCGAACAGGCGCCTGCCCTGCCTCCGGCTGCCCCGCCTTACCCCGCTCCACCTCGCCCCCTTGCTGCGCGCCGCCCGCAGGCTCCGGCGGCGGCGCGGCCTCGGGGCAGCAGCAGCGGCGCTCCATCGGCATACTGGACATCTACGGTGGGAGGGCCCTTCCTCGTGGCAGCAGCCTCGTGATGTGCTGCCTTCTTTTGCTGTCGCCGGCACGCAGTCGCATGCCTCGGCGCCGGCGCTGACTGGGCCGCGCGAGGGTCGCCCCCAAACCGCCGGCCAGCCCAGCGCTCTCGAGGGATCGACGCTAGAAATAACTGGAAAGAAAGGCACGCTTTCTTCCCCCCGCAGGCTTCGAGTCGTTTGACCTCAACTCCTTTGAGCAGCTCTGCATCAACCTAGCCAACGAGCGCCTGCAGCAGCAGTTCAACGCGCACGTGTTCAAGGTGGGCCGGCAGCAGCACCTGGCATGCGTGGGCGGGTGCCGCGTGCGCGGGCGGCAGTGCTTGGGGCCCTTGGCGGCTCCCCGCCGGCAGTGCATGCGCTGCCGCACGCCTCCCTGGCCCTTTCCTGACCCTCTCCTGGGCCCTCCCTCGGCCCTCGCCCTGCCCAGCCCACCCCCCGACCCTGCACACCCTTCCTTTCCCGGGTCGATCGTGCCGCAGGGGGAGCAGGAGGAGTATGCGCGTGAGGGCATCGCCTGGTCCTACATTGACTTTGTGGACAACCAGGACTGCCTGGACCTGTGAGGGGGTGGTGGTGGTGGCGGTGTGTGTGGTGTGTGAGTGCCTTGTTCTCTGGGTGGTGGCGGGCTGGGTGACGGGGACGAGCTGTGGGGATTGGGGGGTAGTGCTAGGCGCTGCCCCACCCCACCACGCACACCCCACCACGCACACGCCTCGCCCGCGCCGCCTGCCTGCAGGCTGGAGGGCGGCGCCGCCAGCCTGGGCGTGTTCCCGCTGATCGACGAGGCCTGCCGCCTGCCGCGCGCCACCTACCAGGCACGCCTGCGCTGGTCTAAGGTTTATCTTGTGCTGGGCCGCCACACAGGGCGCTGCGCTGCTGCGCCACATGCGGCCACGCGCTCATGCAGGCAGCCGTGCATATGCATTCACAAGGGGCCTTGCAGAGGAGCGTGCGCTTGGCTTGTGGGGTTATACGGGCTGTGCCCGCTCCACTCCCTTGGTGCCCCCTAGCACATTTGCCAAGCACACTTGGCAACCCACCAAGCTCCACCCATCAGCACGCACACAGACATACACACACAGACACACACTGTTCATGCACACTAATCTTCTCCCCCCGCAGGACCTGGCGCACACGCTGCGCACGCGGCTGGCCGGGCAGCCCCGCTTCGGCGCGCCGCGCCGCCAGCAGCACGCGTTTGTGGTGGACCACTATGCTGGAGAGGTGTGCTACTCTGCGGAGCACCTGATGGACAAGAACAAGGTGGGTTTAGGGTTTTGAGTTGGGGCGGGTTGGGGCG